ATATATATGCGATTGAGAATCATCCAGAAAATGTTTTACTTGTTTTTTGATTTTTAAAAATACTCAGCTCCCACAGAAAATATATATTTAATTTAATTCACAGTTGAGTTCATTTTTAACAAAAAAATTCATATTTGACCTAAAAATTTCATATTTAACCTAAACATATTTGAACTTAAATGCATTCTGATATTGAGAATAGTTTTTGTACAATTTAGGGTTTAGTGATCATTTAGTAAATAGTGATTTTTTACTATTTTTAAAGGTAGTATTAAATAAATTTTGAATTAAATCAACGGAACCTTTTAATAAATATATATTTTTTTTTGTTTATAAATTTCAGGTATGTCCCTCATAGGCTGCAGATGGAGATTGTAAATTCTACTACCAGACATTTTAAAACGAGTAAAAAAAAACGCAATCGAATCAGTATGGATGAAGGCGAGACTTTTTGATAAGATCAACAACCTACAGAACTCACAATTTCTCACCATGGATTCATTAGTTAATGCTTTCGACTTCCCTCAATAATCATTTGAGGACTATAATTTCATTATTTTTGACAAGGATTGAAAAAAAAAAGCAGAAATTAAGGACAGATATTATGAAACATGTAGCGAATAAGATGAATATAAAATGCTCATTTTTAGTGCACAAACTAAAAATAAATGACCTACCTTTGAGCAGTTCGTACATATTTAAGTCCATAAGCTCGAATACCAAGGCTAATCGACCCGACTTTTTGTCACTGAAAACAATGAGAATATTTTTTTATAAAAACGATATGTTTTAAGTGAGCTATGGTATAAAAAAATTTATGATGATATATATATATATATATATATATACAGTGAGAGAGAAAACATGATGGAAAATATTAAAGATTAATAAAGTAAAGAAAAATTATTAAAATAAAGATTAAGAAAATAGAATAAAACAAAAATATTTTATTGGGAAATTACATTTCTTTATGTAGGGATATTTCGAAATAAAGAATGATTATCCTAAGAGTACTAGTAAGAGTATCCTTACTAGTTTCTGAGGGCTCAGATTAGAATAATATTTAACATTCGATTAATCTTTATTATTTTTTGTGCACTGTACGTTTAAAAAAGATAAAGTAAAAATTCAGAAATGACTTGATTGTAGAAATCATTTCATGAAACATAGATGACTTATGAAGAGTCTATGATAGATCGCGTGAGAATTTTTCAATAACTTGAAATATTGCGTGTTGCACTGTTTGATCTCAAGGTCATCTATCCGGACTATGTTTGTCTTAAGAAATTGCCTTGGTGACCGATACCTTTTAATATTTATTTTTTCATTGTCCCTCTATTAAAAGATGAGTATCTTTAATTACTTAAGATCACGGCACAAAGTATTGCGGGACAAGAATCTGCATTTAATACTGCAGTCTCTTACCAAATTATTATACCCACTATAGGATTCTGTGTGAAATCTTAATTATCAGGTGATGCTCTATACAGCTTTATTGTTTTTATGTGACTGAAACTGGTTTGCACTTATTTACCTTTATGCATCAATTGGATAAATTAGACGATATATTATATAAATATAGAATATTTATTATATCAAGCATTATATTAATATATTCTAATAATTCGACCAAATTATTAGTATATTATAATAATTAGTATATTATAATAATTAGTTTATTATATTATAATAATTAGATTATTATATTATAATAATTAGATTATTGTATTATAATAATTAGATCAAACTATAATAGACGCACTGTAGTTTTTTAATGATGACATGATTTGCACCATTTTATAGGCAATACTTTTATATTTAAACATGCATGTAATGGGTTTTTATTTAGGAGATTTTATATATACTTCCTGTTCGTATTTATTTTTAACATATTGCATTACTATGTTAGTCAATTGATACGCATAAACTGGTATAAACTGGTTTTAGCAGAGTAAAAACATTAATGATGTGCTGTATCACCTAATAATTAAGATTTTACATTGAACCTTAGAGTGCGTATAATAATTTGGCCAGGGACTGTACTAGACTTAACTTCGCAACATATGTATTATTCTGCAATGGTTTATTTTTAGAATTCTCTTCAAAAGTAATGTGAAAAGAAAAGAATGGGCATAATATTGAAGCGAGAGAAAAACAAAAGCGTTATTGTAATCTGGCAAATAACTAGTGAGATCACTAGTTATCACTAGTTGATTGCCTTTGGGAAACACAGAAGATTTAGAAGGTGATCACTAGAAACGCCGCCAAGTCATTAGCAGGTAATCAAACTGGTTTCGATATTTCTCCCTTTCCTGCTTCTCTCTCTAGTTATCATTCAACGCATATGTATTGCACTTAATTAAACATCTATTTGTCACCCTTAATATACATGCTACACTGACAAGAATTCTGAAATTATACGTCAAGGGTGGTCAATACGGAACACCTTATATATGCCGTGTTGAGGGGAAAAATACTATCGCTGCTCAAAAATAAGAAAGTTGAAATCATCAGGACTTTTTACAATTAACGTGATTTGTTTTTTCTTTTTTTTTTCCTCGTTTTTTTTCTTCTTTTTTTGTTCTTCGCGAATAAAAAAAATATCTTTTTAAAAAGAAGTGATTTTAGAAATGATGTATTTGAATTTAATTTTTGAAATTCCATTGTTTCATAAATGAATCCTTATGAACAATAAACTTATATAAAAGAATCGAATAAATTTGTTTTTCAATGAAATTTCTGTTTCAAAATGAAAACTAAAGATGATCATTGGGCTCATGTATTAAAAATAAAACTGCTTGATAAGAAACATTACAGCTACTGGTTTGTATTGTTGAGTATTAAATTTTTAAAACTGTTTTAAAGAGAGTTTAAGAATAATCCCTTTCTAAAATACAGAACAATTGAAAAAATTGAAATATTACATGCCGATAATTTGACAGCTTTTATTAAATTTAAAAAAAAGTCCTACGGCTATATTTCTTTATTGGAAAACAATTCATTCCTTAACTTTTAAATATCTGAACGTAAAAAATCATCGTATTGATAAAGGATATTTGTACTAAAAAAATCCTGTAAAAAAATATTGGAACGAGAATCTGCATAATTTTCTGAAACTATATATAATTATCTGAAGGTAGAAAATTCTCAAATTCATGAAGGGAATTTCACAAAATTACTAGAAAAAAAATTGCTTGCAAAATATTGCAATTATTATGCAAAATCAAAACCTGGTTTGCAAATAAATTTCCATGAAGCCGTCATCGTAAATTTCTATATCTCAAAGAGTATTTCTTTCAAATTTTGGATTTAGCCGTTTTAAATTATTTAGTTTTAAATGACGCATAAATGTGCGTCATTTACAATTCAAAATTATTTGATAATTATTACATAGAATAATAATAAAAATTTACTAAATATTATTTATTACATGAAATGTTAAAACGATATTTTTGCGTAAACAAATGTTATACTTTTTTGCAAACGATTTACTTCAAAAGCTCTCCAGATAGGCAAGAAGTGAAATAGTTTTCTGATCGCCCTTTCAAAATTAGATGTTTTTTTCATTTGTTATATGTTTAATTTGTATTAAACAAAGCTTCTTGTACTGATTTAGTAGTTTTGGAATGTAATACAGTTCTGTAGTAATAAGAATCTCCAACCATTTGTTATAGGGTAGCTCATTCTATGTTGTTAGATGTGTATAATAGGTGGTTTATTAGTTATTATATATTATACTATTTCTAATATTCAGTAGTTAATGGACCTCAACGTTTCTTTTTTTTTTAAATTGGGAGGGGGAGAGAGTGCAAAAGAATCAAAGGGCTGCTTTCTAATGATACGATTGATTGTGTATAAACTAAGAAGATACTCACAAAATGATGTCGTGTAGTTGAACGACATTGACATGCGGTCGTAGTCTACGTAAAGCTCTGACTTCAGTGAGACCCAAGGCTTGATCCACGCTGTAATAAAAGAATTATGACTAAAAACACACTCCACAAATGAGAAGGTGAAACATGCTTCTACATATTAGAGCTAGCATGGTCCCAAAGCAACCCAGGATTCGAGGCTTTGGGAAGCTAGAGGCGCCAAGGGTCCCCGTGATCACAGGAGATTTCACCACCTTTCTTATTTTTAGTTTACTTTTCAATCAAGAACTCCAGAATTGCAGTACTTATTGTATCTAATAAACTAAAGAAAATTCTGTTAGTTTAACAATTCTTTAACGGGTTAAAATCATTGTTTCAATGGGGCGTGATCAAAAAGTACTACAATTAGCACAATGCATGCAAATCTAATCTAACTATAAATAGTAAGAAATATTTCTATTCTAATAGATTTTTCACAAATAAGAGAATGTTTTTAAGAAATTTTGTGCACGCAGTGAATTTTTTTTCCAATTATTTTGCGAATGATATGCTTGATTTCTATGGAAGTTTTCTTAATGAAAGATTTCTTACTGTTTTAAATTTGTTTTATTAAATTAGTTGCCAAATTAGTTAAGAGTTACAGTTTTTTTTAGGTTGTATAGTTTTTGTGCAGTGAGACAAAGTGTAACGTTAAGTTAAAAATCCAAAACAGTGTCGTCTGACACCCTTACGATTTTTATATTTAGAAAGATAATGTCAAACACATAATTAATTAAGGGAAATAATTATTTCTAATTTTATCCCATAAACATGAATTACATAATACGAATTTTATCCCATGAACATGAATTACATATTACTAATTTCATCCCATAAACATTAGCTACATATTACTAATTTTAGCCCATAAACATGAACTACGTATTAATTTTATCCCATAAACATGAACTACGTATTACTAATTTTAGCCCATAAACTTGAATTACATATTACTAATTTTATCCCATAAACATGAACTACGTATTACTAATTTTATACCATAAGCATGAACTCTGTATTACTAATTTTATCCCATAAACATGAATTACATATTACTAATTTTATCCCATAAACATGAATTACATATTGCTAATTTTATCCCATAAACATGAACTACATTTTTTTCTTTGTTTAAAAGAGGATTAATTGCTTTAATTCCTTTCTCCTGAAACTAAATGACTCTATTTGTAAAGAAAAAAGTTATGATTGCGAACGCTGACTCAAAATAAAACATTCAACATTTTTAACTAAAAATAGCATTTCTTTATTGAGGTATTCCTTTGAGAAATCCACCTCCATTACGTAATGAGGAGATTATGAACGACGAAAGGAAAAAACTTTTCCTTTTTAAATAACAAATTTCTCCACTGATTCGATTTATTTGTTGAACTAAATTAAATCAAATAATTGTTTCAGATTGTTCAGAACGCATGTATATTATTGAAATTGTATCAACTTTTGAAAAAACAAGCTAAAAAATAAAATATAATCACATTAAATATAAGCATAATCTGATGTATAATCATATTCTATCAGAACCATGATTTTATAAAACTCGACATTCGTTGAATAAAATGTTTTATTCAATTTTTTTTTACTAAATTACGGATAAATTTTTAGACGACTAAAAAATCGGTTAATAGCGAAAAAAATATGAATGAAATTTTACGCTACGTAAGTCAAGTTCCTCGTAAGTTAACCATATTTTAATATTAATCGCCACATTTAAATATTTCTTCATTGTCGCAAAATTTTTTTTTTTAAAACAGGTGAAACTTTAGATTTTTCAATAGAAAAATATGCAGATTTATATGGTATAAAAAAAATTCATACTTCATAATTCAACATTTTTTAATCCTCGAGGAAATTAAATAATTAAAAACAGTAAATAATAATTAAAAATTATTTTTTGCATGAAATTATCTTTGGGTAAATAAGTTTTAAGAGTTTGTGCAACTTTTTTTCAGTTGCTTAATTAGTTTCTGAATATCTGACTAAAAGCGGCAAAAGTAAAATTAAAAATAAGGGGTCTTAACTTTTAATCTCTCTCCTGACCAAACTATGGGGACCCTATTTACCAGATTGTTGCCAGCTCCTATATTTTGAAGATCAAGAATAAAAATAAGTAAAAATAATATGTTTTTACTCAGAGAAAATATGCTTTTAGGAAAGTACGCTTTTGTGTCCTATTTCGTAACTTTATTAATAGTAGGCAATAAATAATTAGCATATTTGAGGTCACCCCCAGAAACCATTGAGATTGACACTTTTAATACATAAAAATCCGATTATTAGAACGAAAGTTAGTCAGGGTGATACCTTTTTTTAGACCACTGTACCCTTAATGTAATGTGAGTTTGCTGAAATAAGTTTTTGTACGCAAGACGAGCAGTCATGAAAATTAATAGTTAACACACTTTTTGTTTCTACATATTGATTTTTAATAATTCTTGTATTTCTTTTTATTGGCCGTTTATTTAAATAATGTGTAATAAAAGGAAGCAGTTTGGAAAATTAGTTAAAATTGTTTGCGGTATGGGTATAGTGAAGTACCGGTTATAGTGAACCGAAATTTTGGTCCCTTGAAGGCTCACTATAGCGGGGTTTGACTATATTTAGGAGCCTTAAAAATTATAAAAGTTCACATAAAATCATGTTGAGTATGAAATTTAACCGAAGGAAATTTGATTAAATCATCCAGCTTAAAAAAACATTGCTTAGAAACAAACGATTTAAAATTTTCAAAAACTTCTTCAAGTTACGTTTTGAAATGCAGTTCAAAATGTGCTAATTTATATGAGTTAATTTATATGAATCTCTCTCTGGGGAGACTGAAAACACGCCTGATTAATATTGGGAATTATATTTATTTATATAGCTTGTTTTTATAATTTATTTGTGACTATAGCTAAAATTGTTTAATTTGTATAGCTTGTTTTTCAATAAATTTACTATATAAGATTTGAAAACAAGTATTTTAAATTTGATGTTAAGTATTTAGTTTGGTTTCATGAAAGTAAACAACTATTTTTATTCGCGTTTTAATAACATTTGATTCCCGTTTTAAGAATATAGTATTTGAATTTTCTGATTTTAGACTGAGTCTGGGAAATAATTTTCTAACTATGATGGGGAAAAAATATTGAGAATTTTTGTTATTTATTATATTCATCTATTGATTAATGTTATTTGTTTTGCTCCTATGTTTTTAAATCGGCATATCATTTTATTTTATAAACATCGTTGACCCAATTTTGTGTTTACAATTACAAATATTATAGTAAATGAATATACAATTACAAATTACTCCTTAGCCTTGTAATTTTAAACCCAATCCAGACAGAAATTCCTGGATAGAGAGTGTTGGCACAAATGACATTTTGATGGAACTCCGCCGTATTTGGCGTTACATGGGGAGGAGAACCACGAAAATCTCCCCCCGGTTCGTCTGACGGCAAGGGAATTCGTCTACCGCTGAGGTTATTTTACGTCAGCACTATTTTCGTTGTGAGCCGGATGTGGAATTCGTATCGGTCAGCCATCGCTTGGATTCAAACCTAGGACGATTGCCAGGTGAGCTCTCACATTGAGGTCACAATGACTTCCCCAGAGCCACCACGACTCTTTAATCAACATTAAGGATTGATATAGATTTTATAATTTTCTGGTTGAAATGATATTGTAATTAAAAAATACAAGCAACTGTTTTGCAAAGCGTTAAGAAAACGCTAGCAAGACCAATCAAAGAAAAAGTTTTTTATTTTATTTTTCTTGAAAACTCAGGGTTTTTTCTTTCAAGCTTGAGTTAATAGCGCCGTTTTCTGTATCGCCCGGGGCGTGAGATCGTCTTCCGCTGATTCTACATATACGATCTTTTGCCGATGAAGCATATATAAATAATTGAACATACCTTACAAAGTGTCTTTTAAGAGTTTTGCAAGCATAGAGTTGTCCGTCTGCTAAATTTTGGCAAGCCATCACCTCAGCAAAACTCCCTTCTCCCTTTTTTCCCAAGATTCTGTATCCTGTAAACAGTTCTTTTAAAATAAAAATCATCAATATTATGCATTTAACGTACAGTCCCAGGTCAAATTATTAGACAATTATTCTATGTAAAATCTTAATTACTATACTACGTGATACTATACAGCTTTACTGTTTTTATGTGACTGTTTTACACTTGTTTACGTTAGTGTATCCATGGGTTAAATGAGATGATACATAATATAAATTCGACGATAGGATACATTAGACGATATATTATATTATAGGATATTTATTATATCAGGTATTATATTAGTATATTGTAATAATTAGATTGAATTATTAGTCGCAGTGTAGTTCTTTGATAATGACGTGATTTGCACGAGTTTATGGGCAATACTTTTATATTAAAACATACATGTAATGGGTTTTTATTTCCGAGATTTTTTATATACTTCCCGTTTGTATTTATTTTTAACGCATTGTATTACAATGTTAATCCATTGATACAAGAACATAAACAACTACAAACCGGTTTCATCAGAGTAAAAACAATAAAGCTGTATAGAGTATCACCTGATATTTAAGATTTTACATAGAATCTTAGAGTTCCGTCTAATAATTTGAGCAGGGACTGTATATTATATAAAACACTAAAAAATAAATATGTGATCTTTTCTCGCAAATGAAAGTAACTTTTGATTTCGACAAAACAAACAATACTGCATTTTTGCTTTTAATTGTGCTTATTCCTTTACACGGATAACATAATAATTNGATCACCGAAGTCAAGCATCACTGTCAGTGTGCGGGTGGGTGACCACTTGAATCTGTCTGCACAGGGACCGAGGGTGTGCGGTATGGGTCCCCGTTAAACTGTGCTACCGTAAAGTGCTCGACTTCGCGCGCAGGTCGTCGGGCTACCGAAGCGGGGGTGCCATCCCCTCTACAGAGCATCAAAATTGTGATGGCATGTCTTCGGACCATCCTAAGGGATGTTTCCCAGACAGTCGCCAATAGCCCATTGTGCAGCTCTAGTGCGACGTAAATGAACAAATCAATCAATTAAAGTTTAGGTCGTGTGTTGGCAACAGATATTTTCTTTTCAGTTAATGTAAGTGACGTCATTCGTTCAAATCATGATGGAACCTGCGTGCATTAAAGACATGCACTGGTTGAAGGCAGTTGACTATGCTGTTGTGTCCGGTGATAATGCATCACATTTTGTTAAGCTGTATTCATAGTTATTATTTTCAGATGTTAGCTGTATCGAGATGGTACTGTATGTAATAAGGAAATATTTAAATCTTCGAGTTTCCTCATATGAGTTAACACATTCACTAATTACTGCTCATGCTCTGCTAACAAATAAAACAAATGGGACACTCTAAATAACTTTTGATCTAATGATCGGATCTTCGTGTACTAGGACTCAATCTGAATGGTTCATGAGGATGACTTCAAATAGGCTAATTTATTAGTACCAGTGGCGTAGTTTTAGGGAGGGTTTGGGGGACAAAAACCCCTCCTAAATTATACATTACTTGATTAATGAGCCATTCGATTAGGTTTGGTAAGCAAAATGCGGACATAAACAATTTTCGTTATTAATTTCTTTTTCGTTCTAGGTTTGGATTGGATGGCGTCCACACGCTTTTCAACTGTGTTCAAGAGTGATAGTAAACAGTGCGCATGCGTCGTCATTGTATGCGTTGCTATGGCGACTGCTGTTGTTTTTCTTTCTATTTTCACTAGCAGGCATATTTAATGTATTTACATAATAATAATTTTAAAGTATTTTTACATTATTTTTCTTATTAACGTATAATGACTGGCTTGAAGGTGATTTGAATGAAAAAATAGGAATGCTGAAGAAGGAAAAACTATTTTGTGAAATACGTACATAGGTAGGGTATGAAAGTCAATCCGACGACACTCCTCAATGGAGACAGTTTTTGCAACCTATGATTTGAAATGTTTAACGGCAAAAGCATTTGACTAATTTTAAGCATTTGACTAATGAGGTTATCACAACCTTTTTTTTTTTTTTTTTTGGAAAGTTTGAATCTTTTTAATTTTTTCTGTGCTCCATCAATTTTGAGAAAAGGTGAAAGTTTTTTTTTTTAGAATGGTCTTCATTTGACCCTTTTAAAACTTCAGTTAGTTCAAGACTAATGAGTTGCATTTGCTCATCTGTTCATTGAATTGTAGAGAACAATTGATGAAGAAGTTTAATTGTTTTTAACTCTTTGACGCAGAAATTTTTACTTATTTCTTTATTTATTAATTGATTTATTTATTTGGATCAGTTAAATGAAACAATTATTTTCACTGTCATTCTTTTAGAAAGTTTGAGATTTTTAAAAAAATGTCACTCATTCTATGATGGGAGAAGTTTTATGCTAATTTTGAGCAAAAAGAAAAAACAAAAGATTATGATTTGAAAAAATTGGAATTTTTATTCAGAATTTTACTTCCTCCCCAAAATTATACACCCCCAAGACAAAATACATGATTCTAAGAAACGTGTCGGTACACATTATTCCGAAAGTATGAAAAATTATCGATCTGTGAAAAACCATTTAAGCCGGGGGCACATATCACGGATTATGTTACAGTTAACCCCAATCTATATGAATCAATAGCCTGTTGCCATGAGAGTCTTTTATTCGAGTGTTACTTTTCATCTCATTTTGCAGACGAATATTTTATTTAGGTTTGTGATGAGTTGAAACCAGAGCATCTGCACACCTGGAAAGTCATGAATTTCTGTATTGAACAAAATTTGTCATGAAATGTCATGGTTTTAACTATTAAAAAAAAATCATGAATTTACCCCCTCCCCCAAATTCATGGTGTTCCGAATATCTGAATTAGTAACAAAATCCCCACTCGCAGTCAGATTTCACTAAAATATAAAATGTTTTTATCAAGTTGTATAAAATTATGGTGTTCTTTCAAAAAATAAACGAAAAATCAATTCTAGACCAAATTATAATTAAAATTCTGCGATTTCGGAATTTTAATTATTATTTTTTTATTTTACCAATTTCAAATTCTTGCTGAAGCGAGCCAGTCATTGGCGATTTTTATTTATTCCGAAAAGAGAATAGAGAAATCAGGAGTATTTCTTTCCTTTCCTAGAAACGAGAAAAGTATCTTTGGAATATAATTCTGCTGAAGAAAAAATTATTTTGCTTTTGTATTTCTTTTCCAGCTATTTTATTGCTTCAACTCTTTCTTTACTCTGTTTTTTTAAATTTAAAATCTATAAATAGGAAGATGAAGTTTTGGTTATACCTATCATTTCAATTAATGTTATTACAATGCTTTTTTTAAATATATTGTTGTGTTTTTGTCGGAGAAAACAGTTAGTTCGTTGAGTCATGAAAAATTCTTGGAATTAGTCTTAATTTTTAGAATTTGAGAATCTAAAATGTAGCAGATACCCTGTGAAACACACTATACTTGCATCCCCTTATACTCTGATAATGAAGGCAGTTCAATTAAGTATAATATGAAGAAAAAAAACTACTTCGAAAATTTTACTGGGAATAATGTTTACCTTTAAGTTTAATTAATAAATTGAGTTTTAAATATGCTTACTATGGATACATAAACTGAGATAAAACAACGAAATCAATTATATAAAAAGAACTAGACTAATACAGTTCCAACCTGGTGATCAGCGTTCGTTTAATGTTTATTTGTTGTTAGAAGTCCGGCTTGCAGAAAATACCATTTACTGGTCAAACTTAGTAGAAATAACATGACCTGTGACGTTGGTTATAGTACACCCGATTGATAAAATCAATATTTTATTTTGTTTCAGAATATCCACTGATGAGCAAACAACGGATCTTTGATCTTTTCGAGAAGAAGACAAGGCAACTCAAGTTAGTGACACTTGGAAGAAGAAACCCCTAGATCTGCCCATGGTTTGTTAAACGGTTAAGGACCCTTAAAGCTTTGGTACTTTTAGTTATTGTGTCCAATGTCGCGTAAAAATCATTTCATTATTTTAAACGCTTTCATTTTTGTCATAATTATACAATCAATTTAACTGTAAGGAATTATATTATCAGAATTAACTGTAATAAATGTGCTAGGTAGAATGTAAATATTAAATACTTTTCTTACATTAAGGTTTCATGTGATCATTTCCAGGGAGTCAAGAACTCTTTCTTGATAGCTATCAAAAAATGCCGGTAGAAAGTAAAAATATAATTAATTCCCACATTCCTATTTTTTTTTCTTCTGACAAATTTGAAATACTTATCCATACATGAAAATCAAATACAGTGAACTCTCGCTACTATGGTATCCGATACAACAACAACTCCCTCCATTACAATAATGTTTCGTGGATCCGACGAACTTGCATATGAATTAATGCAATCCACCTCTCAATAATACGATACCAGCTCCAAAAAAGGATCTTACACTCACTCAAAAACTATTGACATTCCAAAACTAACACCATGGCACCCACAAAACTCTGCTCGTTGTTGCCTACTGTAACTGACATATAATAAGTAAATTATTTAACTAAAAATACGGTGAGCATGAGCACATAATATCTTACAGTATATATTGTCTGAGAATTTTATATTAATAAGGTCCATTATAGCGGAGAGTGTGTTTTTTTGAGCAAGTTTATAAATTGCGACACATTTTCGTTCCGGGGCCCAAAGAATTTCAAAATCACGAAATTTGTATAAAAATTACGCAAGTGCTCTAAATAAAAATGCATTTTTCTTGTTATTTTGCAAAAATGAAATTGAATTATACTCTTTTCAATGCGATAATTAACATCTCACCAAAATACTCGAATATATATATATACGAGGGTTGCTATTTATATTTCTGGCCTAATAATGAAAAAACAAATAGGTAGGATCGAAATTGGTTTTATTGTTTTTCAAAATATTCTCCATGATAATCAACACACTTTTGCATGCGTTTGAACCAATTT